GATTCGTCTTTAAGCATTCATAGCGTTCGTCCGGTATTCGTCCAATCTCTCAGTTCCTCAGTGCTCCAACTCTAGTGTCTACCTAATTTCCTTCAACTGCATCGCTTGTTCCCATTTCAGTCTCGCTCGTATATACCCACTTAGCCACATATCACCACATACCAGATATTATTATTGTACAATTGTAATTGCAATAAACTATTGTAACCAAACTCGAGGTTGTTCACGACAATTACGGAAGAAGTCCAGCGTGGCAGCTACAAGGACTAATATTTACGACGACTTGGTATTCATATAAAGTTGGGAGCTCATCGCCGCAACAAAGCCTTCCATCCTTCCGGGGTCGGCATATTGGTACCTGACTTTTCTGGGAGGTTATCAGTGCTAGCTCGATACAACGATAGGCCACTGCGAGCCATTGTAAAGGCCAGATATGCATTCACTCAGCCCCCGACAAATGGATCCGAACGCGACCGAAAAATGGGTCATTCTTCATGTGGGGGGCCCGCTGTTTTATTTCCAAACCGTTGTTTGAATACGGTTGTCTTCGCCAACAAAGGTTTAAACGTCCCTCTGAGGGAATTGCACACGGTTTCGCCGTGTAAATCGCGTATCATTACATCGCTAAACTATTAATATTGTGGAAAACTTTAACATATGTGATTGAACTGCACCGATACAAGAAATCACTTTATTAGGTACTAACAGATATGTGAAAGTTCTCATATTTCACTGCAATTGTGGCCCTAAAGAGGGCCGTTGGGTTAGTTATGTGCACCAAAACCAAGCAGTTTACTTACTCGAGGTGAACTTGTTGACGGCCTTTGTGCCCTCGGAGACAGCATGCTGGGCAAGCTCTCCTAGGCGGATCAGTCGGACAGCGGTCTGGATTTCGCGGGAGGAGATGGTCGATCGCTTGTTGTAGTGTGCAAGACGCGAAGCCTCAGCAGCAAATACGTTCGAACACGTCGTTCACAAATGAGTTCATGATGGACATCGCCTTCGACGAAATCGCCTCCGGTGTCGGGATGAACCTGCTTGAGTACACGGTAAATGTAAACGGAATAACTCTCCTTCCGACGATGCTTCTTCTTCTTGTCTCCAGCACGACTGGCCTTTTGGCTCTTAGCGGCCTTCTTCGCTCCTTTGGCTGACGGATTTGGTGGCGTGACGAGTCGAATGTTCACTGGGTAGTCACTGGATGAGAGACCGCTCGGTGCTACCTTCTTTAGAGAGTAATTTACTGTTACTTGAGATAGTTTTGTAAAACTTTCGTAATTTGACGCGCTTTCTTCTAAATCTGTATTGGCCTCAACCCAGTTGCCAACAGTCGCTACTGATTGACGATAAAAAATGAGCACAACCTGAAACGGTGATATTTTAAAAAACGCGAAATCAGGAACCCTCGCAAAACCTCTCATTTTTTGATTCTAGTGTTTGGTTTCCAGGATAACCGTTCATTGAAATCTATTGAAGTGTTTACAAATACGTAAAAACCCGGATATTCTAACTGTGTACCTTCCGATCAACCTCTCTCTTTGGATTGGTTCCTATTCATCGCAACTTTAAGTGTACCATAGAGATTTGTATTAAGGGTTTATGTCCATTTCTGTGCGCTGCACTCTCTCAGAAAACACATCATAGTGAGCTGAACGTCCGTTTCGCACAAAGAAACGCGTCACTTTGCGACCCGCTCACCATAATCAAAAACGTTGATGAAACCACAAATTTGGTATTCATTTACATGCTTGCTCTACACATTCATTATAAAGACACTTTATTCTAGAAGAAAAAAGAGTGAAACGCATTCTAGTCATACCAATTGTGGCCCTAAAGAGGGCCGTTGGATTAGGTTCAGTTTGGTGTCAGCTTTGAAAGGCTCGCCTTTTTTTTCATACCAATTGTGGCCCTAAAGAGGGCCGTTGGATTAGGTTCAGTTTGGTGTCAGCTTTGAAAGGCTCGCCTTATCCACCGAAGCCGTACAGTGTGCGTCCTTGGCGCTTGAGGGCGTACACGACGTCCATGGCGGTGACGGTCTTTCTTTTGGCGTGTTCGCAGTAGGTGACAGCGTCGCGAATCACATTCTCCAGAAACACCTTCAGCACTCCACGTGTCTCTTCGTAGATCAGTCCAGAGATACGCTTCACACCACCACGACGAGCCAGACGACGAATAGCCGGCTTGGTGATGCCCTGGATGTTGTCCCTGAGCACCTTGCGATGGCGTTTCGCTCCTCCTTTTCCTAGCCCTTTGCCTCCTTTTCCACGACCAGACATAGCGACAGCAGAGTACTAATGAATAACACGCGAGCCAAGGCGTGAGTGCCACTTATATAGACGTAGGCGGGGTCTGCACGCTGTAACTCCTCTACCACAAGTGGGTGGGCCATCCCCATCGTTGCATTTTTTGGATCATTAGAATGACATTGATGATGTTATTGAACAAACCACACAGCTTAAAAGGAGAAATAGTCTTGTCTTCATGAAATACTGTGCTTCTATCTTTATTTTATTTCTAAAAGAAGATTTAAGCAAATATTTCTTTTGATTATCTCACACCTTTGTTCGATTTTTGCTTTGAGAGTTGGTCGCACCTAGGGCATCTGAAGTGTGTATAAAATACTTGACTCTTTACATGTTGGATTAATGAAAAGAAGAGAGAGAAACAGCGTACATTGGACATTATTTACCTTACATTAAAGTCTATGCAGTTTTTCTAGCCCTTACACAATATACGAAGATTTTTTCGACGGTTCTCAATAATTCTTAAGCGTCTGAGGTTTATTTGGTTGGACTGTTTGAGAGCAAGAATTTGTGCGCGATTCATGCGAAACGCGTCACTATCGAGCCGAAGGACATCCAACTGGCCCATCGAATTCGAGGAGAACGAGCATAAGCGGCAACGTGCCGTCGCTTAATTTTAACCCAACGGTCCTCCTTAGGGCCGCAACCGAAAGAATAGGAGCACATTTTTCTTTGTTCATGAAATAAATTGTTCGCAGTTGTTAACAGTAAAGTGATGTTGTAGTGCTATGGACTACATGTAGTGATGGTTATAATTAGTTAAATATAACTCGATGACCGTAGAAGAGACGATATATGAAGATCTCAATTGATATGAAGAATTAGTAACCTGGCCACCAACTCGTGATTGAAGATGAGCAATTTGTGGAAATCTACAGTCACATCTATTAAAGTTGATTAATCTAGGGTTGAACAGCGACTTTGCTTCGAAACGGTTACAATGCATAAGTTCTCCCCACTTAGTCTGTCTACGGAGTGTTTTCCATGAACTAGAAATATCAAGTGTGTGCGGACCTCTTAGTAGCTCTTATATCTAGTGCATCTCATCGCTAGTTAGAGCAGCGATCGTTCAGCGCCAACATTCAAAAAACTGGTGGGTTACCAATGATGAGAGTATCGTAAGATCCACGCATCTACAAAAGGAATCGTCGGTGTGATTGAAAGAATTCTTCGATAAGGTGATTTTCTGCCTAAAAAACGCTGTAAACGATACATATCCATCGACGAATACGAGCACCGTGTGTGTGTGTGCAGAGAAAGAAGAGGGGAATGAAAAAAATCACAGCATTCTTATATTTTCAGCGTGGGGTTGAAAACCCTAAAATGAGAACCCTGACATATGGAGTTCGACGTAAAATAGTGCGGTGTAAACCATTGAATAAGCTGTTAAACGGAAAATCCGAAGTAATTGAACTATCAGAAGATCATAGCGATCTAAGACAAAAAAGGATATAGGATATAGGAGGCCACAAAGGACTGAGATGGCTTGCTAATAGCATATTCAAAAACAAAAGCTGCCGGCGTTGATCAATCCCTGAGGGATGCACCATGCATTCAATTTCACTAAGCATCGTTTCGAGGAGAGTGAATGTATATGTGGCCCTTACAATGGCTCGCAGTGGCCTATCGTTGTATCGAGCTAGCACTGATAACCTTCCAGAAAAGTCAGGTACCAATATGCCGACCCCGGAAGGATGGAAGGCTTTGTTGCGGCGATGAGCTCCCAACTTTATATG